GCCCTCAACCGCCGCCCCCACTTACGCAGACATCTCTTTCATCGCTTCCTGCGTCGCCCTCCAGCGAGTGCCTTTCGCTCGGGGGTCCTGTGCTTGCCCTCTCCCGCTTCCTCTGTCCACTTCCCTCCGCTCGCTCGCAGCTCGCTTGCGCGCTCACTTCCCCTCCACTCACTACGGCCGAGGCAGTCAACCGAGCAGTGAACACACCACAGCACCGGCTCGCCTTATGACAATACAGCGCGGCCGCCGCCAATATGGCGCTGCTTCCCAGGCTGCCTCTCGCCCTCCGCCGCCCCGCCCCTGGAGCCGCGGGCCCGCCCCCGGCCACGCCCCCAGCCTCGGGCGCCGGGCTCCGGTCCGCCTCGCGTGTGCGCTCGCTCGCTGGAGCTGCAAACGCATCTGTCGGAGCGTCAGGTCGTCCCTTGCTGTGGGACTGCCAATCCGGCCAAACCTCTAGGAAGAGTATTTGTCAGTTTTTCCTTGTTTCTGCAACGAAAGCATCTGGAAAAGACCACCGCGTTCCCTAACACCGTTTTAACCCACATCTTTAAGTCATAGACGTAATCAGTACACGTTGTGAAGGTTTTTGTCGCCAGAGCGTCACACCCAAGAATGTGAGACTTTAACACAATCATTTCAGGGAAGAAAGCATATAAATAAATTAGTCTAGCTTGTTCCCTTCCTCGCAGTGCCACATAAATCCAAGTCCCGATTTACGGCTTTTTAGCATTTAGCTGAGAGGCTGAACATAATTGCTACCAGTTAGCCAAAGGGTAAATCCAAGACAACACCCCCAACACACACACAAAATCTCACATTTTCAAATAGGGAAAATCATGTTTTGTGATTATGAGGAAGAAAATGAGGGAGAAAGTTACCAGTTTTAAAATGATAAAGGATAAAAGTAATTTCAAACCATACGTCTTTTTCCTCTGGAGTTAAGCCTGCTTGTTTGGGGAAAGTGACTCGGTCACAGGGAAGGAGGAATTATTCCTTTATTGATTTAAAATATGTATTGAAAATCTGGTCTGTCGGTTTGTCATGCTCCAGTTTATTTCTGATGCATAAAAGGCGTGTTATCAAGTTCAGAATTTCTCCATCCGAAGGTGGAGAAAAACTTCAGATGCGAATGATATTTTCCTGCTGCAGAAGTATGTGTCACACACTGTAGAAACTAGATTCCCTACCTTGAAGAGTTTACTGTCTAGTGGATGAGAACAAATATACAGACTATTAAAATACAGATGGGGTTCAGTTGTCATGAGGGGATCAAAAGAGGGCCACTTATACATGGTGGAAAAGTCACCAGTAGCTTCCTAAAAGAGGGGATGCTGCATAAATTAGCAGGATTTGAAGAGCAGAGATTTCAGTAGGTGATGAAGAGAAGACAAAAATCTATTCCGGGAGGTATTGAGCAGTAGCTGGAGTGGGATTTGGCTCAAAGTAGACCCACGTTTGCTATTTGCTAGCTCTGTGACCTTTAGAACTTTAAAATAAATGTTTAGCTTAACCTTGGACTTTTTCGTCTTAAAAAATTAATTACATTTATTTTAGCCTGCATGTGGGAGTCAGAGGATAACCACTGGGAGTCTGTTCTCCCTTTCCGCCATATGGGTCTCAAGAATCAAAATCAGTTCCTTGGCTTTGGCAGTAGACATCTTTATCTACTGAGCCCTAATAATAGTCCCAGCTTGAAACTTTTCAAAGTATTTTGATATGCATATCTAATAAGAACACTTTGCTACACAACCATAACATCACCACATTCAGCCACCATTGAGAGACTCCGGAGTGACATCCAAGCCTGGCGATTCCGAAAAGCCCCTCAGCCCTCTTTCCTTCATCTACTGTGACCAAGTGGCTTTGCTTGTTCTTCACTGTGAACGGTGGAGGACACCTTCCAGCATCGCCTGCTTACACCTATAATTTATTGTCTCCTCAAAGAAGGAAGGTTGCCGTCTGTGGTTTAGTTTTATTCTACTGCCCAGTTAATCCAGCACTGCGCTTTAGCATAAATCCCTGGGTTTCTAGTGTAACGTCTCTGGGGCTGGTGCCGCTGTAGTCAAGCCTCACAGCCACAGAGTGTATCTTCAGAATCAACCGACCTCATGGTTAAAATGTTCTAGATAAAATTCTATCTACACAGAAGATGAACACACTTTTTTCTTTGTTATTCCCTAAACTAGGTTTTTTGTTGTTGTTTCTGAGACTGGGTTTCTCTGTGTAATCCTGGCTGTCCTGGATCTCACTCTATAGATCAGGTTGACCTTGAACTCAGAGAGATCTGCCTGCCTGTCTCTGCCTGCTGAGTGCTGGGATTAAAGTTATGTGCCACTATTGTTCAAGGTACTATAAATAATCTAGAGATTATTTAAACTGTAGGAGGATGTCTATAGGTTGTATGCAATGTTAGACTTTTTTTCTTGGTCATCATTTCCTATTTATATGGCATTTTGCATTGCTTTAGGCATCATAATTAATCTATCGATAGTTTAAAATCTATGGGATGATGTTCATAGGTTATATGCAATTGTAGTGTCACTTTATAGAAGGGGCTTGAACCTGCTAGTGTTGGAACCAGTGAGAGCCCTGAAACGGGCTCCTTTTACCTTGGGATACTAAGGGGGCAACTGGGCTTTGTTTACAATTTGCAGCTTTTTTTTTTTTTTTTAAGTCAAATTGGTGCAGAGGAGGGAGCAGGACAGGTATCCATTTACTTTCCTGTACCTAGAATACACACAACTAGGAACACAATTGAACAGTTCAAGAGCCTTTTAGTTTTGTTTTTTTAGATGTACCTTTTCTTTCTTTCTTTTTTTGTTTTGTTTTGCTTTTCGAGACAGAGTTTCTCTCTGTAGCCTTGACTTTCCTGGAACTCACTCTGTGGCCCAGGCTGGCCTCACAGAGATCCGCCTGGCTCTGCCTCCCGAGTGCTGGGATTAAAGGTGTGCGCCACCACCGGCCGGCTAGATGTACCTTTTCTATGTGTATGCATGTGTGTCTGTGTAAGGATACACACACATGTGTGCGGGAGCCCTTGGGGAAAGCCTGGAGCCCTGGAATTGGAGTTCTAGGTGGTTGTGAACTGTCTGATGCAGATGCTAGGAATCCTTCTCTGACAGTCTGTGCTTTAAACCACTGAGCCGTCTCTCTGGCCTCCATTGATTAAAAAATATCTATAGAAAATAATGCAAACATGAAAAAATGAAAAGAAAATTGGCTTATTATTTGTTGTGTCCATGTGTGGTGTCTCTCCTTCCGACTTGATGTTGGTTCCAGGACTAGAACTCTGGTTGCCAGGCAAACATTTTTACCTGCTATGGCATCTTGCCAACCCTTAAAAGTCTGTTGTTTAAGACTTTTCCTCTTGAAAGGATCTCCAATAACAAATCTCTGGGTTTGCCTGGTCTACGCGTGTGAGGCAAGGTTCCAGGGGTTTCTGAATAATTTTTTTTTAGTTAAAAAATCTTGCTGGCATTGGGCATAATTGCAGCACTTAGGAGGCAGAGGCAGGGGGATCAGGAGTTCCATGTCCTCCTGATTTACACAGTGTTCAAGGCCTACAGAACCAAACCTAGCTTCGTTAGCAGAGGCTTTGCTCTGTAGGTTGAGGTGTGAGATGCAGCAAACAAACCCAGGTAGCAATCAACAGCTTTCCAGGGTGATGTCCTCAAGTTAGGGAATGCAGCATCCCCTCCACGTGCTTGGAAGGAGGGGGAAAGTCTTCACACAATTTAAAAACGTTCCCCCAGAACTCAGGGCATTGGCATATAACTTCAGAGGATGGGGGAGTTGGGGGTGGGGATAGATGTCTTGCTTCTCTCCAAACAGAAGCTGAGGTTAATTATGGTGCTCACCTGTTCCTGGATAATGGCCGCTGCCTGTGCGCTGCCGGACAGCCCCAGCCCCGCAGTTCTGAGTGAGCTCGCTGGCTTTGATCAACCCGTTCTTTCTCAGCAGGCCTGAAATGGAGCCACAGGACACAGTGCTCTGTTTACAATCATGTTAGTTTTGCTTTTTGTTTGTCTTTAGCAGTTGGAGATTAACCAGTAAAAAGGGGTTTAAATTCCCAACCAGCTTTCTGCTACTCACTTGACACATTGTTGCTGGCGGTTTCATCACTTCGATTTCCCCGACTCAGTCAGGTACACAGTTGCTTCGTCTAACACAGGTTAGTTACACTGCAGAAAAAGAAAAGCTTCAGAACTTCAGCTGCAGCTCTGAGTCCCACAAAAGCTGCTGTGAAAATACGCCTTTGTTGGACTTTCCATACTATTTTAGCTAACATTTGAAATACATCAGACATTTCTAAAGTGTTTTACAAAGACTATTGCTACGTCTATTTTACACAACCTGAGAATCAAGTCAGCTTATATATGTTGGTAGGGTAAAACTTTATTCAGAATCCAGAGTCCTGAAGCATAGCTTGTTGCTCTTCCAACTCTGGACACAGTTTTCTGAACTGAAAGGAACAACATCCATTCTACTTTAGTAACAAAACCACACACACACACACACACAGAGAGAGAGAGAGAGAGAGAGAGAGAGAGAGAGAGAGAGAGCTAGAGAACGAGAGAACAATTCCCTGATGATCATAGATGCAAAAATCCTTAATAAAATACTTGCAAGCTGAGTACAGGTGTTTTTCGAAGAGATCATTTATCGTGATCAAGTTGGCTTTATCTCTGAGATTCAGGGATGGTCCAACACATGGGGACCATTACAGGAATCCACAACTGGTCAAAATGCAGAACAACTGACGGGGTGGGCAGGGGACACGGGGGACGGGGACCAACATTTGTAACACAACCCCGATACCCAAAGCTCAGGGAACACAGTGGATAGATGTAAGATCCAGAGCGCCAGGATGTCTGCTGTGGGGTGTGTCCTCTATACATGACATGGAACCTATGAAATCTAAAAACCATGGCCACCTAAACAAGACCTGCATATTGACGATACAGTTGATGTGCCAACTGGTGAGGGAAATCACACAAGACCCTGCCTAGATGAAGAGCTACAGGAACATTTCATTTTATTAATTTGGGTCTTCTCTTTCTTTTAACCAGTTTAGTCAAAAGTATGTCAATCTTTTTTTTTAGATCGAAGGTGTGCACTACCATACCAGGTAAACTACAGGAAATTAATGGATGCTCAGAGAGGGAAATGTCTTCTCCAGGGATGAGCACTTAATATGTTATCAATCCCAAGTGGTCATCTCTAGACACACATATATATGACCAACACTAAATGGACTCAGCAGCC